GTAATGGGCAGGTTTTTGCCCCACTCCCATTCTGTTGGCAGTGCCGGGGCCCGGCTTTGGACTGCATTAGCTGGGCACTGACTCCGCAGTACCAGTCCACTGTCTGAACCCACAGCTCGTGGGACCCTGCTTGGGAATGACCTGCCTGCACGAATGACTCCTGGGAGGAAAGTGGCGTTAACACGCCCGGCCACCCTGGCACCTTCCTCCGCGTTGTTATGGGGATGCTGCTTTGTCAATAGGATTGAGGCCTCTGGCAAGCAGTGCCTTTGTTCAGCCTGTCAGACGGGTTCCCTCTCGCTCCCCCTCACCCTGATTTCTCCTTTGGGCCTTCTCCTTTGTGCTGCCAGGATCGTACTAGGTCCAGAAGGGTTAATAAACTCCCGGTCCCCACCATGGGGCATCAGCAAGGTTTGAACCCAGGCCTTCAGCACATGCCTCTGTCTCCTGAGCTAAAACAGTAACTCCATCAACAGCTACTACTAGTAGGCTGTTATACTACAATGGATGAGCTCAAGGGGCCTCAACCAAGACTGGGCAGCCCTGGTGCTGGGTGCTGTACAGACACAGTGAGAGACAGGCCCTGCCCCAAATTGCTGACAGTCTAAACAGACAAAGGGTGTGTGTTGTGAGGCACGAGGACATTAAGGGCCTTGGCCAAGGTCACACACGGACATAGCTGGGAAATGGACCCAGATTTATGGAATCGAGCACGAGCACAAGCCCAGCCGCCTTCGTTAAGCCCCAGTGCAGATGCAGTCCAATCAGTTTCAATCTGGTTTCTCTCTCTTTAGCTCCATTCAGTGACATTTAATACCGATTTAGTTAAACGGGAGCAATTTCCTAGTATAGCCCAGGCCAGCCGGAGAGCGGGGGAGCGTGATGCAGAGAGAAGTGGAGTCAGAGAGACCCAGATGAGCAGTCGAGGGAGCATGAATCACCTTGTTTTCTTCCCCAATAAAAAGGAAGATTTGAGGCTCATTCGCAGGGGTGGATTCCTGCTTCCACACCGCCCCCCCCACCCCCATCCAGCAAGGAGCTGAATCGCTGACAATGAACACGAGCTTTCCCTAAGGTTGGGTCCATTTGTCTCCGGCCACGTCTCTAAGGACTGGCCACGTGACAGACGGGCATTAGATGTCACATAATAACGTTCCCCCCGCGCCACTGCCCAGCCCAGGGCAGACAGCTCACAACACGCGTGTTAGTGGCGTCGCGTGACATGGAGAAGCGGCGGTTTTCTCATTTCCAAGCAACCTGAGAGGTTGAGATGGAAAAAAACCAGTCGGCCCATCCAGCCCTTCTCCCGGATCCTGAACGTTAGCAGGAGAGTTTTGTACTTCTGTTTCCCTGGTTGGTTTGCGGTTTGGTGCGGCGGGGCAGGGCAGGGGGTAGTGTGCTGGCTGGAGGAGGGGTGTGTCCCCCCCAAAGCCACCGCTAGCCTTTGTGTCTATGTGCAGAGGATGAGAGCGGGGCCGTGGTCGTCCAGACGGCGCCAGGGAAGGTGGTCACCCACCGAGGCGGGACCATCATCCTCCCCTGCCGGTACCACTACGACGTGTCAGCCCACGACCCTGCCGAGATCCGCCTCAAGTGGACCAAAGTGATGGACCCGATGTCTTTCGTGGACGTCTTCGTGGCCCTGGGGAAGGAGCGCAGGGCCTTTGGGAGTTACCGGGGGCGCACGGCGCTGCAGGAGGACGGGGCAGGAGACGCCTCCCTCATCATCCGCAACGTCACCCTGCAGGATTACGGGCGGTATGAGTGCGAGGTCACCGATGAGCTGGAGGACGACACGGGCATGGTGAAGCTGGATCTGGAAGGTAAAGGGAATCCTGGAGACACAAGCAGGCAGCCTGCAAGCCCCAGGCTGCCTTGCACACCCGGTTTTATGTCACAGTTTTGCACGCACACGTGGCCTGACTACCCAACGTGTGCTCATAAATCCTGTTCACAAAAGCTCTGGACTGCCATGCCCGGCGACCGTACGGAGACAAAACGACGGTGCACGCCCACTTAGGCCATGTCTACACTACCACTCATGTCAGCAAAACGAATGTATTGGTGCAGCCGTGCCGCTGTGGGCTGGCTAGCGTAGGCATGGCCTTAGAGTCTGGCTTTGCGCTGTCTGCACTGGCGCTCGGGTGAGTGTAACTTTCGTCGCTCAGGGGTGTGGATTATTTACCCTCCTGACTGAGGTAAATTATACTGAAGTAACCTGTAACAGAGACAAGGTCCCAGTGTCCTGTCCATGCAATCAGAGCCCTGAGTGGAGGCCAGGTCGTTAGCCTTTTGTCTGAGGTTCTCAAAGCGTTTTTGCAAACAATCCTTTAGCCCGGGGAGGGAGGCGTCACCCTCTCTTTGCAGCCAGCCAGCCGGAGAGATACATGACTTGGCCAAGGTCAGAGAGAATGACACAGCCGGGAATGGAATCCAGGACTCCTGACTTCCCCGTCCTTTGCTCTAACCGCTAGACTTCACTGCCCCCAGGCGGCCAGACTCCCTTCGGCCCTGCTGTAATCACTGCCTCACGCTTGGTTTGCTCTCCTCAGAGCGCATCCATGTAGCGTCAGGCGGGCTAATCCTGGATCGGCGGGAGGGCGATCTGAATAGGGCAGCACGAGACTGCTGGAGAGGTGCCCTTGGAGCATGCCTCTATCACCTCTCTCTGCGGCCTGGCAGAACCCGGGCACCGGCTCCGGGCAAGGTGGCGGAGGAGCTGGTGCCTGGGGTGTCAGGGCTGAGAGATGCAGCCGTCACTCCCCGCTGTGGTGCCGGGAAGCTGCCGGGAGGCAGTCGGGCTGGGTGCCGCGCAGCTCACCTTGTCCTACTTTCTTTTCAAAAGCAAGCGTTACGTGCCCGGGCCAGAGAAAAACCCAGCGGCTGCCAGGGCAGATAAGTCCCATCGCCTGCGCCGTGCCCGCCACCTGGACAGCAGCCCCATGGCTAGTGTCGGCTGGTATTAGGCTCAAGTTTTGGATGAAAGTTCAGGTGGTTCCTAGTTTACACAGGGGGGCAGGTCTCCCCGGGGGTTAGAGCAGGGTCGGGGGACAGCTGGGCACTGGGAGGAGAATGTGGTCAAGTGGCTAGAGCAGGGGACAGGGAGCCAGGCCTCCTGGGGCCTACATCCAGCTCTGGGAGGGGAGCGGGGGCTAGTGGTGAGAGGAGATGGGAGGGGTGACGGGAGTTAGGAGTCTTAAGTTCTCTTCCTGAACCTGCAAGGAAGTGTGGGCCGGAGGTCGGCTCACAGGACCAGGAGGCAGGAGGCCAGGCTTCCCCTGTGGCCCCCGGAGCAGACTACTGGTCCCTCTAGCCTGGTATCCCTCCTCCAGCAGCGGCCAATAACTGGTGCTTCAGAGGAAGGTGGAGGGGGAGGGAACCCGTAATACACTTGAGCAATTGTAAAGTAATGTGCTTGAGGAAGTGGAGGGGGGGGAGAAATCCCTTCCTGACCCTTTCAATGCCCAGCCAGGGCCCTGAAGCCTGAGAGCCAACGACCCTTCCCCCGCCCTGCGCAGCTCCCCATTCGGCAATTGCTGTTAGGCCCCCGAGCCAGCGCCTTGCTCTGCTTGCGTGTCCCTGTAGGAGTGATCTTCCCGTACCACCCGCGCCTCGGCCGCTACACCCTCAACTTCCACGAGGCCCAGGAGGCGTGTCTGGCCCAGGACGGCATCCTGGCCTCCCACGACCAGCTGCACAAGGCCTGGCTGGAGGGCATGGATTGGTGCAACGCCGGCTGGCTGGAGGACGGCTCCGTGCAGTACCCCATCTCCAGGCCCCGAGACGAGTGCGGCCGCAAAGACACCCCCGTCGGGGTCAGGACCTACGGGTACCGGCACAAGGACGACGAGCGCTACGACGCCTTCTGCTTCACGTCCAACCTGAACGGTAACAGCCCCTCCCCTCTGGGGGGGCAGGGCCCGGGGGGCAGCGCTGAGATCCGCAGGGCAGTTGCATTGGCACCGCAGCAGGGCACGGAGCACGCTGAACGCTCAGCAAGAATGTAATACTTAGCGCATGTGGGTTTAGCAGGGCGGGTCAGGTTCATTAGCCTTGCTGTACAGGGGGGAAACTGAGGCACATAGTGTGTGTGGGGGCAGGGAGTGGCCTGCACAAGGTCACACAGGCAGCTGTGGGAGAGCCAACTCCCCGGCCTTGTGCTTTGCCAACGAGCCAGGCTGCCTTGATGCTCAGTGTTTTCTTACCCACCCCCCAGCTTCGACTCCGCTGCCCCATTCTACTAGGGTCTCAGCGCCGCCCCCACACTAAGCTGTGTGACTCACACCTGTCACCCGGGCTTTGCTCTCTCTCCCCGCCCAAGGGGGGAATTGTGCGTGCGCCGCGGAGGGCTTTGGGATCTCTAGATGTCTGCACTGCTGTGTTTGTGTTGGAGAAGGCAGGGCAGAGCACCACCTGGAGTGGTGGGCGCTGGGCTGGTTCGGGATGGCCCCTCCTTCCTGGGGGGAGTTCATCCTGTGGCTTGGGACTGGCCCCTGAGGAAGTTCTGGCCCCTGCCCAGACGAGCGTTACCCTTGTGGCAGGGAGTTCCACAGGGCCTGACGACCGGAGTTGTCAACATCCCTCCCCATCCTGGAACTTGAGGCTCTTTTCTTCCCTTGCAGAGAAGGCCTGAGCCCTTGAACTGGACTCCTGTGTGGGTTACTGTCCCCTAAACTGATCCCCCTCCCCTGCTGGTGCATGGCATGGCAGGTCCCCCGGGGGCACGGGGCTGGTTGAGCGGCAGCGAGGGCTCATCCATGGGGAAAAAGGTCATGGGAATTTCCAGAAACGTTTCTCAGTTCAACCCGCCTTCATGCCGCTGTCGGCCCTCAGCACGGGCATGCGGCTCCCGCTCTGGAGAGAGCCCGCGTCTCTCCCTACCAGCCCCCCCCAAATCCCAGCCCCCCCGAGCAGCGTCTGTTCTCTGACCCACCCCAGGCGCTGAAGGAGCAGGCTGTGTTCCCCCATTAGGGGACGCTGAGTGGGGAAGCGAACGGCCCATCCCGGAGCCTGGCCAGTAGCCCTGGCCTCACTGGGTTTTGGCCCTTTAATTGTATTTATTCCTAGCCAAGCCTTGGCATCATCTCCTCCTCCTCCATACCCCAATCCGGCAGGTTTCAACCCTGTTTCATTTGCAGACCCCTAAAACATTTCAAATGCTGGGGTGGGCCCCTTTGGAAATCTCAGACAGTCTGCAGCCCCCCCCGGATCCACAGGCTGAAAGCCACTGCCCCAGTCCGTCACCCAAAGACCCCAACAGCCTGAAATACCAGGGAAGGGGTGGAGGGCTGAGGCCCCAGGGAATTTAAACACCCTGTACCTGGCTGCCGGCCCTGTGCTCAGGTGCGGCTGGTGGAGTCCCTCCCTCGCTATTAGCCCGTGGTGATTGGCTGCTGAACGGGCCTGGTTCATTGCCTTGGGATTATTGGGAGTTAATTAGGTGCTAAAGCACTTGCGTGAGCAGCACACTGGGTGGTGGCGGCTCTCCTGGGCCTTGTATGATTTAACAGTCACAGTCGCTGCTGGGGGGAGGCGCAGATTAAAAGAAGGGGTCAGGAGCCAGGAACGCCAGCACCCCCAAGCGTGGCCCAGCCCACGCTGCCCTGGTGCACAGACTGTGGGATCAAGGCCTAGATCCTCCAAGTTAGTTCGGTGTCTGAATACCACGGAGGGTCTGGCTGGGGAGGGGAAGCGCCATGTTTTCCTAAGTGGTCTCCAGTCGGGGGTGCCTGGGGGGCGGAGTGCCCCTGCACCCAGCCACGGCAGCTGGAGTTATGGCCGTCGGGCAAAATCGCCCTCTCTGCACCTCGCAGCAGCCCGGCGAGGCAGGGAGATGCTGTTCTCCCCATTTAACAGCTGGGGAAAGAGGCCCAGCTCCTCAAAGGTGTTTAGGCTCCTACTCCCATTAGTTCCGAGGGGAGTTAGGAGCCATGGAGGACCTGGGCTAACGTGACTTGCCAAGATCAGAGCTGGGACTTGGACCTGAGTGTCCAGCGGGCACCCGAGCCCCTTCTCTGTCCTACCTCTCGAGCTGTGCCCGCAAAGATGGGGGCAGCTGAAATCAGGGGCCACTTTTGGCCTAGGCGCTCCCCTTTGAGCAGAGCCAGGATTCTAGCTCGGGGACCCTGGCCCTGGTTCCTAGCCCAGTGCTCGCACCGTTGGGTAACGCTCCCTGCCAGGCCCTGTCGTTGGAGGGAGGCGTCACTGGGCTTGCATGGGCAGGATGATACCCTAGTGAGGCGCCCCCATGCACAGCCCTTACTTAGTGCTCTGCTTCTGGACACCCCAGAGCACTTGCCAAAGGGGAGGCTCATTAGTCCCAAGGTATAGATGGGG